TAAATTTTTTTTTTAAAAGCAAATAAGATATTATTTTTTAAAATTAATTTAATATTTTCAAATACCATAGTTAGTTATAAATTGATAAATTAGATAAGCTAGATACAATCATAATATTAACTCATATGGCCTTAACATTTACCAGGCCAATATTTCTGAAATCATACTTTTAATAAGCCAGCAGCATAACAAGTCGTTTCTTTGATGAATAGCAAGCCGTCTTTACTTCATGGAAGAGTAAAGAAAGCAAAACAAGTTTCAGTTCCAGGTACAAAAGAGGAGTTATTCTTGGTAGCCAAATATTCCTTTAACAATGTCTTTAAAGAAAAACAAACCCACATAAGTAAACAACAAAATCAATCAGAACTCCATCCAAAAGGAAAATAAATAAATCTACAGTACCAGAAAATAGGGCAAAACACACACATTCCTGGTACCATTATGTCATCAACATACTCGGGCAAGGGATGAGCAATCTTAATATGAAATTCTCAGTACTAACTAGGAGAATAAGATACAGTCAAGTCCCACAATGGCAAACTGTTTATGAACATAAACTCCTAAACAGCATCAATTTCAACCCAATTTTCAGGTATCAAAGAGCAAAATGCCCATTTAAGCAAGCATATTGTGCTAAGCCTGATTCTCCTGCTGCTGCTGATAATTTAGAGACCTCCTGAAGAGCATGATGTGTGGCTCAGGGCGATGAATAGCATAATGAACCCACCCTCGACTCTGTTGTACCCCAATCGCACGCCACTCATTCTACAAAACCAACGTCGGTAGAGATGAGAACACATACAATTAACAATCCTAGAGACCCAAATATCCCATACCATACCTCTCATCCATCCATCCATCCCTGTGCCCCTAACTAAAAACTCAGATTCAACCATACCCTACTTCATTGAATCCTTGCTAATAAATTACATTTGTATCTCAGGCGCAAGAAACTTAAATTCAAAGTACAATCTTGGAATCAGTTCCATAATTAAAAAACAGCAAACAAATTGATTTGCTGACTAAAGCCTAATTCCAGAGTCCTGATCCCTTTTACTTTTTGTTTTTTTTATTAAAGACGAAACAGAATACATTATATATACAGAGACCAAAAAAACATTAAAAAAAAAAACAAATACGTACCTCAGAGAGAAGCCGATTCTTGGGAAGCAGTTTAGCCACTTCAGGAGGGAGAACCACGTGCCTGTTAAGAACAACAAATTACAAACAAATACTGTACAAAATAAATATCAGGGAAGAGAATTGATTTTTACCTACCTATACTCATATGTATCATCGAAGTATTTATCTGAGTACTGGATCTGACCCATCTTCACTCCTTCCAAAATTTGAAACTTTTTAGGACTTCAATTCCTCCCTTCAAGATTAAAACTGGAGAATACAGGAAAGAAAATGAATCAATGAAAAGGAAAAATGCATAGCAGAAGAGAAACGAAATTCTGGTTACTGTGGCTGTACCTCGCGGCGATGGCGAGAGAGTGTGAGATGAGAGACACGGTGTGGGTGTGAAAACGATGAAAAGAAGAGATGGGAAAAAGGTGCGAGGAAGGCGTGTAATATGGAACTTTTGGTGGGGGCAAAAAAGTGAATCTAAGTACCATTTTAAATTTTAATTTCAAAATTTCTTAGGACTTAGGAGACCTGTTTTTAAATTCCAAATTTTGAATTTTTCCCGCTTTTCGAGTGTATTATCTTTTGGGTTTTCCTTTGGAAAATTCTATTTTATAGAGAAATTTTATTAATGTATTTGAATTTTGAAATCTTATTATGGAGGTATGAGATGCAGAAGATTATAACAAAAATTATATAAGATGTAGAGGTTTTTCACATTGGCATATTGCATATAATTCTTCGGTTATATACACAGCTCTTGAAATAAATAAATCCAATGTTAAATTTCCTCGAATTCATGGCAGTTTTAGGGAAAAAGGAAAAATGCCTCCTACGAAGAGCCTTCATTTGTATGGCGAAACCTATATTAGATTGACATTTCAGAATTTCCCCCAACTTAATTTAACTATTGTTGTATGTAATCCTACATGCTACAAAGAATTATTGTGTCCTTGCATCTTGTATATGACTTGCATACAAGAACAAATCACCCAGCCCTGCTTAGCGAGAAGCACACCAAACTGAGGTTCAAACTCAATAGTTGACTTCCACCCGACCCCCCCAAATGAAAAAACTAATTGCCTTCTTCGAGGAAGGAAAAGAAAAAGGAAATAACCCTGTACATTCCTAGGAGGACAACTCTTTAAAGGAAAAAGAAGGCTTCTCTATTAAGTATTTTCAAAATTTCCAAGGTGTTCAGCTTTCACCCGATGACTTAAGCACAACTCCCGGAACTGGTTTCCACAGCATCGAAGTTCCTTGGAAGATCATCATTTGATAATCTCTTTTATATTTGTTCACCTGCATTACAAGAAAAAGTTCCATTAACCATGTACATCATATATGGATCTGTCAACTACAAGTTGGAACTAGTGAAAGTTAACATACCTCATCTGGGGGCATTTTGTTGAAATCAAACTTCTTCACCCAAATGGATTCGGCTTCGTCTGCTGCAGGGAGCACCAGATTCCTCACTTTTAAGAAGCCAAGTAGCTTCTCAATGCAAGAAAATAAGCATTGAAAATAACCCTGCAGCGATTGGTAACTGGTAAGTTACCTTTTTAGATGGTACCAGAAGAAAAGAAGGGGGAGGATGGAGGGAAGGAAGGTAGGGGATTGGTCATCCCCAAAGCACAAACCTGTCCTTGGGCTTCAGTGCTTGTTGCAACTAAAGGAAGTTCTGCCACGTCCTGCCCAAAAATCCTAAAAATCCCAGCTGATACTACCACTTGACTGCATGAAATGAAATAATTACTAATAAAGAAAACTAATTTACAAGAAAGAGTGGAGAACAAATTCAAAAATGATTCTCACTTTACAGTTAATATTGCACAGTACATGCCACCAAAATCTTGGCCCTTGACAGCCCTTCTGCAAAACCAACTAATGCAATTATTCTCAAGCAAAACTTTAAAGGAATAATACATATTTTAGAAAAAGCAAGCAAGAGTATGCAGAAAAGTGACATCTTACTAACCCATAAACCATTGCTGGTATGAGATCACCTTTAGCAGATCCAGATTCACTTATTGGATCGAAACGGTCCTGAGAACAGTAAGTAACATGAAAAACAAATTAGTAGTTACCCACAAAGCTCCTCCAGTTTGCATCAAAGACAAGAAGGCCTAGAGGCATTGTAGCCACACAGAATTTAGAACATACAGGAAAGCCTTTTCCGTGCCCATTATAATGATTAAATTACAGCAGTAGATTATAACGATCAATATTGTCTTATGAAGTAGAAATTGACAATCACATTTACATACATGGAAGATTGTAACAGCCTTGGAAAGCAACACTCTATTGTCATCAAGTGAAGCCATTTTCCCACTAAGAACCCTCCATCTTATATCAAGATTAGTCTTGCTCTCCAAATCAATTTCTTCACGATTCTTCTTCACAGCAAACAGAGAAGAGTCAGGAAGCTTCTCTTCTCCATGAACCACCAACTTCTGTAAAGCAGAATGAATGACACTACACTCTACACAACAGAACCACTGTCCCTCGGGCAACTCCTGTCAGAAATAGTGACAATCCCCAAAACATTAATCACGAAAATTAAGTAGTGTTCAATAAAAGAAAACCATGACCATTTGATTGGAAGAGTCATGACACCTCGAGGTCATCAATATTATGATCCCTGAGACAGCCCACATGGTACTCTTTCTCACACTGGAAAAGATAATAATAATAGTTAAAAAATAAAAAATTCTGTATAGTCACCAAGAGCCAAATGGATTTGATACATCAAATACTTTGATTTGAATTTGATAAGTACAAATACTTACAGCCAAGAAAGTACCTGATCGCAGAGGATAACGGTTTGAGGACCAAATCCCGATTTGCTAAAATTATGACCCCTGAGTATGTCAAGAATAAGTCAATAAAAATAAAAAAGAAACAAAAAGAGAAAAATTAAAGCTCAATGGTTCCAGGAAAAGGCAGAAAAATGAATAAATTTGAGACAGCAAGTCGATCGGACAAAGTTATGGCTTGGGCTGAGAAGGGTGAAATAACACACAAAGTGGAAACAAAGACAGACAATTTAGACAATTAATACAATCGGAAACAACATTAAGATTTTATTGGTTTAGAATTCGATGAACAAAGTTAAAAAGCACAAAATGGGGAACAGGATGCAGGCTAGGATGGAGTAGAGGAAATGGATGGTTGACACCAACAAAGAGGTGTTCCTAATCATAACAGAAATATGGAACTGACCTGCATAATACGCATACACTGGGGTTTTCAGTCTCAGGAGTTTTAACAATACGAATGCATCTCTTAGTTATCTGTTCTATTGGATCAACTCCCTCAACCCTTCCAGCTGCTACAGCATTAGCATTATGTTCCACACATTTTTCCATTTGGAGTATATTCTGACAATACCTACAGTACCGAGCACCAGTCGTAATTTTTGGCAGTGAAACACACTCTGCAATTGACATGCATAAGAGTAAGCATCATATCAGCTAAATTAAAAATAATTTCTTCCTTTCTTCCTCACTCTGAAGAATAAGTTCAGCCATAAACTTAAAGGCCAGACCATGTAACTAAACTTCACATTCCTATACAAATAACAACTACAATTTATGTCTGCACAATTAAAATAAGTACCTCCTTCGGCCATAAAAATTTAAGAAGTACTTCCTAAAAAAAATTTCCAGCAAGACAAAATATTCTATGAAAGATGAAAAGTGAAAACTCACCTTTATGAAACGCCCTTGGACATGTATCACAACATAATAGATCCCCTCCATCCAAACAAATGCTGCATAGCTCATCAATCTCATCTGTAGAGAACTTCCGATCTTTGGATAGAGACATTGACAATTCATGGAGAGACACTCCATTAGATGTGTAAATGTGTTGGAAACTGCCATACAAAATAGTACCAAATCAATTCTTTAATACATAAAGAGGTAACTGTTATCCTTTACATAAATAATCATTCTTATGAGTTGATTTATGTTATGTTGCCTAAAATCAGCATGCTTGTGTACACAGACATCTTGAATTGGATAGCTGTGTGTGACAGAAAAGTACAATTTCCCTCTTTTTTTTTTTTTGCAGGGGCAGAGGGGTTTAGCTTTTTATTGCAAGAGGTAAAAGACAAAACTAGGAAGAGCTTACGGTTTGCGACGAGAAGCATAACCAGCATGAGCTTCAAACACTGAGGGGCTAACCTGATTATTAAAGTAAAAAAAAATCAAATTTCTGAAAGAATAAACAAGAAAACAACAATTCCATCAGAAGAAAATTTACCAAAGAACTGCAGCAGTTGCAAAGTATTCCTAATCCATTCTTATAACCTACTAGACATTTCTGCAAAGCATCACATCACCAATTAGGGAAAGACAACTAAAATGAACGGATAAATTTTTAGTTTACAAAAGGTCACACCAACAACCTGTCCACGTGCAAAATATGCTAGTTCAGTTCCTTCTGGCAATCCATGTTCCTCAAAAACCGATTTATGCATCCGCAGATCCCTTCAAAATGCATCGAAAGATTTTTTTAATTTGAAACTTCAACAGAAAATTATGCAGGGAGAGAATGCCTCAACTGCTGACAACTGAGACATAAATCAAACCTGAAAACAGAATATGCAAACACGAAAAACTACTCTTACTTTCTAGTTACTCTTCCTTGAGTCTTTGTTTGTGACGAGCTGCTCTTTGTAGCACTGTAAGGTGACTTTGTCACAACAGTTGGTTTGGGTGATCTGAACGGATCCAAAATAAAGGTTTGTGTAATCTTACAGATGCTACTGGTAGTACAACAATATGGCAACATGCCAAACAAGCTGTATATAAGAAAGAAAGCATACTTATCACTAGCATCAACTGCTTTAGTAGGGTTGAATCGAGGCTCTTTTAGCTCCAGGCAGGAATTACATAGAACCATAGTTTTCCTGCAAGCAGCTCCTGCAATGGATCCTATAACAACAATTCAAATGATATGTCAATAATATGAAACTGTCTCAAATAGCTTTAGTATGCAATAAAAAGAAAAGAAAAAAATATACCTCGGCAGTTGAAACAAAAGTTGGAATTCTTCATGGATGGGCCAATAACAGTGTGAAGAGCCTCCTCCAATGTGATCAATGAGTTCTCTTTATATACGTTCATCACATCACGGAGGGTTTTCCCATTCTCCAGGTGAATATGCTCAGCTGGATGTTTGTTTGAACTACCAGCATGCACTTCATATACTGTTGGCAGAACCACCTACATCCATGTTAAAAATTCAAAGCACTCAAAATCAGCAAAAGAAGGGGAAAAAAAATCTTCAGAATATCTGCAAAATTAACATTATCACACAACACTCCATTGCAACTCATAAATACTCACATTATCACCCTTGCAAGCATGGCAAAAACACAATATTCCAGTGCCTCTTATCACTCCTCGGAGTCCATCAACACTTGAACCTCTAGTGCCCTATAATATAGAGATCCATAATTGAATTCTTGCACAACATTTTACATAGGAGAATAAGGATGCAACAGAAGGAGCTAATACCTTAGCGTGCCGTATATACTTCACATTTATCCCCTCAAGCATACCAGAATCAAGAAGATCCTTCAACCTAGTTGGGGCAGCCCTTGCAAAATTTGTTGCTGAATTCATTTCATGCTTAAATGAAGTATTGACACCTTTAATGTTGCCATCATAACCACTTCTGAAATCAGTATCCTGTTCCACAACATTTCCACCAGGTTTCTTCCCTGGTTCCACCTTCTGCTTCAAACAGGAGCGCGTAAACCTCCTGAGTGGCTTTTCCTCGAACACATTCTCAGTCTTGGTATCATCAACACCACCACCACTGATAGAAATTGTGATTTTATCACTAGAACCTGCCTGGTTCCCATTTTGCTGCTCGTTTTTCATTCCCAAATCCACTTCAACCTTTTCCTTTTCTCCACTCATCAAATTCTCCGTTTCAATTTCTTTATTCTGATCCTTGTTAACATCTATTCTACTCCTATCTTCTTCAACATCCATCAGCCCTTTCTCAAACTTGTTTTCTTTTTCTGTTTCTGTTTCACTGTTAACACCTTCCAAATCCAGAGTGGAAAAGGCTTTTCCTTGGTTTTTCTCTTTATCTTCCCAACCAATTTTCAATGCCTTCTCTGGTGTCATCTCAAGTTCTTCAATATTCGCTAAACTTTTTACAGCTCCACCTTTGTCAATCTCATCTTTACACATTGGCTCCACACCCCCTTCTCCTTTCTCCAGTCCTTCAATTTTCAAGCTCTTGCAGGCGTCAACCTTAACTTCCCCATCACCCCCACTCATCAAATCAACCAAATCTTTCTCCACGCCTTTAGCTTCTCTGTCTTTCCCTTTCTTAATCTTCGCATATACCTTCAATATCTTGTTGCTCCTGCTCTCCGGACTCCCAATGGCTGCATTCTCCGCCTTCCTAGACCGCGTTCGCCCCAAAGTCCCGCAGATCTCTGATTGAGCCTTCAAAGCAAACTCAAATTCACGCTTTAAACCCGTCCTTCCCCGAGACAGCACCAAAATACTCTCCGAATCCATGCCTTTTGCCATGAAACAAAGCAATCCAAGGTCAATTCAGAATCCTATACAGCCTCCGTTTCCAGACACATAAAAGAGAGACGTGCAAAGGCATTCATATACAGATATGTATGTGGATTTAAACGAGTCTGCACTTCAGAGAGGATTGAGTTGAAGCAAAATAAAATTGGAGGGATCGTACTTTGTGAAGCGCTATAAAAGGACGAGGAAATTAGGGGTTTTTTTTTTTTTTTTTTTTTTTTTTCATTTTGC